GGGAACTTCAGATGCTAGTGGATCTGTTAACAGGACGCCCACGTTATGAAGAGTTGTCTGAGAATGTGTCAGTGTTCGTAAAAGTGTTATCTGAAAGGATGGATGATATTCATCATCAAGTGCATTCAAACTTAAAAACGTCTTCTGATTCGATGAAGTTATGTTATGATAAGAGATCTACTGAAGTCAGCTTTGTACCAGGAGACAAGGTGTGGTTGTATAATCCCAGGAAGACCAAAGGGAAGTCTCCTAAGTTGTCTTCTTCATGGGAAGGCCCATATGACATAGTGGATCGTCTCTCAGACGTGACTTGCCAGATAAAATGTGGTCAGCAAGGTAAGCCAAAGGTGGTGCATGCCAACAGGCTTTGGCATTATCACGGTCCAAGACATTTCAATTGGGACGAAGTGAACAACGGAACAAATGACTCTGCTGAAGACGTGTCACTTGAAAAAGTCACTGTCGAAGAAGGAACTCTACTCGGTTTGAGAAGGGAAACAGCGAAGCCCTTGATGAAGTTACTACCACTGATGTGACTGTTACCAATGATAGGACGTTTCCTGATGAAGCAGAAGCCAACGAGACAGAGATCAGTACAGAAGAAGATACGTCCCGTAAAATTAAGATACTTTGTTGAATTTTAATTTTGTGTTTGTAAATTCTGTACATTTAATCAAGTTATTGTTAATTATGTATTGGTTTAATGTAAGTGGCTATTGTTCGGGACGAACAATACTAAGGAAGGGGCAATGTTACGACAGCGGGGCTCACGTGACGCTAGTAACACGTCATATTCTCGAATGTTCACGTCCCTTCCTGAAGTCTCGAGAGGTAACTAGATATGCGGTATTCTTGTAGATATAAGCTGCTAAGAAGTGACGGCAACAATGTAATGTAATGTGTAACTGAGCTGCAGGCAGAGATAGATATGGACAGGTGAGTCGAGCACGTGAGATGTTCGTTGTGAATTATAGCGTTTGTTATAGCGTGACTGTGGAAATTAAGTGTATTGCAAAGTTGTATTCAGAAAGAATAAACCAGTTTTATTTAAGAAAGGACTTGTAACTAACGACCAGAGACGTAACAATATTAATGACTGTAGACTCATCATATTACATTGAAAACGTCTGAAAAAGTTTGAAAGCGAACTTGGACTCTAAAAAATAAAGAAAAGATCTAAAAGTACCAGTTCTCAATAAAACACCTAAGTTATAAAAACAAATTGTAATTTTATTTAAAAAGTAACCGAATAACTTTATTAGTTATGTGATTGTACATAATTTGTTCTGCCAATTCTTATTTTTTACTTTAACTTACCCACGAACTGGTCGTTTTTTTATATATACAAAAATTCTATAACTCAGTCTCTTTCTAATAATGGCTGGAGACGGCTTAAATGGGTAATGAAGA